AATGCAGATATTGGAATCAGAATTGGGTAAACTTCCCATGGCTGGCCCACCGTACCTGGATTACTGTTTGTTTCATCAGAGAAAGATTTTGTAATGCTTAACAGATCATTTCCATACATTAATGATGTAACAGCAAATGGCCCCAAACTTGAATATGGACTTGCACCAAATAGTAGATGCGCAATGGCACATAGTATCACAGAGTACAGGCCCCTCTCTGGTGGTAAACAAGCTAGTACAGCATATGCCATTGCCTTGGAATGATTAAATCAAAAATTTACCTGTGGAATGATCATGGTAGCTAAAGTCGAACCAGCTAAAATATCATGGGTGAAGTAGCTCTTGTTATAATTTCTGACCCAAGATAAGAAGGGGAAGATTGACTGAACCATTGTGGAAAGCATATTGCAATCAGATTTGAGGATATAATAATTGAAATTTCAAAGAAGGGAATATGTTGTCTGTATGTATATCAATACTACCAATTGCACGTAAGTAAGATGACTTTCCTTTAGTATAAATGTAAACAAACTGAACGCGACAGCAAATAATACCAACAAACAAATCTAACACACCCCATAAATATTCGATATAATAAGAATGATATTGCCTAATATATGCAGAGCTTTTGGATTTGTATCATTTCTCATGTTTGCCACTATTTGTTATTCCTGCAATAAAGCGCGTTTATTTTGATTTAATTCTTACCCAAATTTCAATGGCTTCATTTCTACAAGTTAAATACAACACCAACTTAACTTTATAGGCAGGAGATCCTAAAAAGGAAGATTTTAGAAAATATTTAGAACGAAATGGAATTATTGATGCTCTGACCAAAGTTTTGGTTGGTCTCTACGAGGAACCAGGTAAATGATTCAAATTAACCTAGTTGTAGAAAAACCCGACTCCCCTATTGAGTAACACTACCAATTTAAGATTAAATTTAGATACATTAAACATTTCTTGGGAGGTCCATCTGAAGTTGATGCAGAAGCTCTCAAACACGAAAATGAAGAACTTAAACTCAGAATTGAAGAAATGCAAGGGAAGATTGATCAGTTACTTTCTGGTGCGCCAAGTGATTCGAACGCGAATGTTACAGATCCCGCGATAGTTGTTTAGCAATCGGATTTTTTAAAAGAGACTATATATGCGTATTCAATAGTAGATTTTTAATTTCGAACTTGAGGTAAACGAACTCCAATCCACTCATGCAAATTGGTACCATAAGAATTGTATATAAGTAAAAACAATAACTTTATTTGATGAGTAATAATGGCGCGGTTAATCCAGCAGTGAACCAGAATGCAAGGAATAATCGAAAACGTTCTCGAATATTACGAGTAGCTTTGTGGACAATTTTTTTGAGTTGATGAGCTTCATATTTTAACCCAGGTCCCAATGACTTTACATTTTCTATCCACAAGTTCCTGTTGTATTCAACCATCATTTCATGGGATTCTTCTAGATATCTTTTATAAAACTCTGACAACTGAAAAGAAGTTACACTCCCACCATCTACAATTAGAAAAACAAAACATTTACTGTTGTCGATGAATTCTTGCTTTTGTTTGAAAAACTTAATATTGTTCTCTTTCCAAAACAGGTGGTGTTGTTGCAATTGTGATTGACGTTGTTCTAACCAAGTTCGTTCCACCTTATCTGCATTTTTAAAATCTATGTAGCGAATATTGGATAACTTGTGAGGCTGAGACACCAGAATGGTAGGAAATTGGTATGCAGTTTTTGAGACCGTTAAATTCTAACGTTAGTCGGCAGCATAATCTTACTGTGAAGATATCAGGTAAACCTCTTAATCCAGCAAAGTTTCTGATGAATGACATTGGTTTCTATAAAGTAAAAGATGGTACTGAAGAAATTTTTAAAATATTTTACTGAATGTGACACATCAAACAAGTGACTGAGTTTCATCGTGAATATTCTCGATTTACAATAGACAAATAGAAGTACTTGGAAATTGGCAGTTATATTATTCATATCATAAATCTAACTCATCTGTGATTGGTATGTCCTGTTTAGGTGAATCATTATCTCCGTTCTCTTCTAAATCTTCCGGGTCATTTAATAGTGCTTCTTCATAAGCTGCTAAAATTTCGTGTCCATCAACCTCAATCAATTCTTTCATTCTTGCATATCGTTGTTGTTTTTCCACTGCTTTCAGTTTACGATGAGTCAACAGCACTCTGGTGTGTTTTTGAGCTTCATCTTCATAGTATGCATCTTGTTTACTCTATAGATTAATAAAACCGCTTTACTAATGCCCGTCTCTTTCTCAATTTCAAATGATTATTGATGGTACTGTAAAAGGCACCACCTTGATCTTCACGTAACTCCAAGAAGAAAGGATAGGTAGATGATGGTTCAATCTTTTGATCAAAATCTTTTTGAAATGATAGTTCATATTCCTATAGAGTAAACTAAACTGTATATACTTGATCGTCTACAAAATCTTCATCTTCTAATTTCCTCTTTCGCTTAAGCTTTTCCACAGAAGCAGCTGTTGGTGCGTAGTACGTTAGCCAATTTTCGGTGTTGTTCCTAATAGGTTTCAACAAAGACTCTTCTAATGCAATAACGTGATCCTCTGGATTCAGATTCTAATGGTTCACCGAATGCAATTAGACATACCAGTACAGACTTATTAATAGGATCTTGATCATATGTAGACAAGAAGTAAGGAGTACTCCAAAATTCGAAATCTGGAAAGATAGGAAATATTTCGGTTGCTGTGAGTTCTGGATTCTTTGGGTGTTTTAATGATTTTAAATCTGCTTTTTTGGCCAAGTCAAAAGAATTTTTAATGAAATTAACTTGGTTTTCAAATGATAAATCAAGTCTCTCCATGACTTTTGAATCTTTGATAGCCCTATAATTAGTGGTTCGATTCCATTGTACTTGGGTTCAATTTCCGAAGTTGCTTTTCCATATTTGCTTCGTGCATTTGAAACATACAAAGTTCTTCTCTGCCAAGACAGAATATTAGCTGACTTTTGAGTGGCACGTTTATCTACAGGTGGAACAAGTAACGCTTTATCTTCAGGATCCAGACTATCAGTATTTGCTTGGTATAAATCTATAAAATTCAAATCGTTAAAAACCTAATGATGATTACAATTTGGATTTCGAAGTTCGTGTTCCAAAAACCCCAACTGAAGTGGGTTACAACCCAATCCTTGCTCTCCATCTGGATGAATCAAATCAAATTTTCGAGTAGCAAGTAGTGAAGTTTCCTTATAACAATAATGACGATCTTTGGGGTGAGGATATGCCAATAATTTTGGATCAAATGGTACTAATGGTAAATCATTTTTGTATCTCAATCGATAAATGAACTCTGCACCTTTCTTGACTCTAATATTAATATACAATTATTACGGGACATTACTGGATGACCTTGACCTAGACTTTGACATAGAAATGAGAAAATTTTCATTTCAATTCCTTAGAACTCAATTGTTTTTCAATTCATTCAACCAAATAATTCACAAAGATACAAATATACTTGAAGTGTATTTAAAATTCTTCACTATGTGACTGAAGCTGCTAAATAGTGTGCAAATGTGATTTTATTAGACAAATTTAGAAGAGCCATCACGTTGATATTTATGAATATAGTTAGTCATTAGAAGCACTGAACTAACCATCACCAGAAACATATTCCAAAAGAATCCTGCTAAATCTACTGTACACCTACATATCAATATTATAGGAATCATACCCTATACTAGGAATTCCAGGTTGTGTGTTTCGAACAGCTGGTAATGCAAATAATAATGAAGTGGTAATAGCAATCGTTGGAGGTTCAACCTTTCTATCACGAAACCACAAAGTGACAGACAAGATAAATACTGTAAAGGATAAGATCCACATACACACAAGAATAAATATTGAGAAAAACTGTACTGTAAATGACCGAAATCCAAGTAGATCTACATTCACGATAGAAGCCGTTCCAATCACATCGTTAACTATCTCGGCCACAATTCGAATAGATTGAATTGTCCCTACAATGGCAAAAGCAATTGGGACATTTGAACTAGATTGATAAATGTTGGGGAAAAAATACCTGTTACTACTTGCCGTCAATGTAAACACTGATTCAAATCTATCGAAAGGATACTTATTTACATTGCTGGCACTAAATGCCAAATCGATACCTTAAATAATTAGACAAGGGAAACTTTACTCTGTGCTGTAATTGGCTGATTAGCAGGGAATTGAACCACCTTTGATCCGATTATCGCATTTATAGGTGTAACAGGCCTTTTGAACACTGGATCGTTCCCATTGAGAGCCAATTTCCCAACTGGTGTTATGATAAATCTTGCTTTAAATAATGAATTGGCGGTATCAATATTGGTAACATTACAACTAATAAATAGTCCATTGAAATTTGCAGGAGGAGGAGCAAAGACATCAATGTCGGTTGCATTAAAGACAGTTTGTGCCTTCTGGTTTCCTTGGCTATAACATTAAACTTCCAAATAGTTACTTTGTATCTAAAACCACCATTGTTGGAACCATAACAGCAAACGTTACCAAGAAGAACCCAAGAACTATTCGAGATGTCTTATAATTATTCAACATATTTACAAAGTAGAAGTTATCTGTTACAGAATTTTTTAGGCATATTGATAGGCTTCTCAAGTTGAAACACAGTGAAATGACGTGAATATGGTAAGTTTGCCTCTATAACATGACTAACATTGAATATATGCAACTTTGGTTGTATATCAAAGGTGGATAGTACCTAAATTGAGAGCTTCCATTGCGAAATTAGTTGGTCTCTAATAACCATGAAATAAATCCTCGTGTGTTTTACGTGTTGCGTCTAACATTCTTTAAATTATAATCCACACAAAATGTGTATTGTTAATGCTTTTATTGATACCATGATCATCGTCGTAGTAATCTTCCATTTTTCGTTCAAAATGAATTGCCAGTGGACCGATGTTCCCAGAAAAAATTTTCAAAAAGAAAGATCGAGATGGGATTCGAACCCACAGCCTCCAGATTCGAAGTCTGACGCGCTAACCATTGCGCCACACGACCCTTTCTTGAAAAGAATTGTAAGCTAACCATATTTAAACTAACTTTGTCATTTTCATGTAAAAAAATCACACAGTATTCAATTCCAAGATTTTTTCAACTATATTCGTTGTACTAGTGATATAACTATTTGTTTAAGAATGTCTAAATAACAATCTCTTTTGAGGACAACAAATACTTATCTGGATAAAACATGATATATGCCAGTCACTAGTAATAAATACATATATTAGTACAAGTTCAGAGTATGTAGCTGTTTGTAAAGTTCATATGTCCAGTTGTTTGTAATGTTATTTGTATCTGGATGATATCACCCCACTTTGTCAACAATCTATTAAAATTGATGGGTCATGTTACAATCTTAGTACAGCATGCCTGGAAAATGCAAAATGCACACAAGCAAATGGATGGAAATCCTGCAATGTATCCCATCAATCATACTGCTCGAATGAGAGGAACGGCTGATACAGATCGTGAAGTTGTGGAGACACCTTTAGGAATCAGACCATTAGCATCTTATGTACGAGTAACAGTTCCTTCCTCAATTGCTCAATTGGTGAAATACTATAATGGTGCTGACACAAGCGATAAAAAAGCCGAGTGCGAGAATGCGTGTCGGGATATATTAGCTCGACTAGAGACATTAATATTGAGTTCTAAAATCACAGATAATCATCGGGTAGATACCATTCGGGAGAGAATATCAAAAAATACAGATGTATTATCATATGGAGACAACCTTATATTCAAAAACCATCCCCAAAAATCAAAATTAACATCTCTAAAACCAGAAATTCCAACAGATGATACAATTGCAATAGAAAAGAATCGGAAATTTGCAGCAGAAGCTCGTATATCGGCATTGATGCTTGCCAGATGTAAATCACAGTTTATTCGAAGTAGTGCATTGTTACTGCTTTGCGAAGCATTAGATACAAACACATTATCCGCTTGCGATCACGAGATTATGCATTTACAAATGCTTTGGGTGGAATTGGTTCAGATGATGAGACATATTGTGGATGCACGAAGATCAAGGAATGGGTACGATTCAGCGCGCCATAAACCAGATACACCAGATGATGAAATAGCTAGATCCGAAGTAGACGTATGTCTCGAGAATCTATTGACCGTAACCTGATTATGTTGACTTTTGTAGTGTTTGTATTTGACATTACAAAGATTGGAATATATAGAAGATATTGGGAGATCTGTTCAATCATCTTCATTAATGGACCAATCATACGAGTGCTTATTGGAAGATCTATCATTGCTCAAAACAGGCGATCCATATATCGTTCAGTTGATGTCAGGAATTGCAGAACATGTAATCTACATTATCATTTTGACAAGATTAGGTGCATGATTTGCAAAATGTTGCTTTTCGGCAAGGTAAATCAAAAAAAGAGGTTGCTTTGGATGTTGGTGTGTCAATTTTAACAAAAGTCATGAGAATGGCACCTTCGGAAGAATTTAAAGATATACAAGGTCAATTGCTGCATATCATGGAAGGGCTTAGAAATTCTCAAGAATGGTATTAAAAAATATAACTAACTAAGCTAGGCTATTAGGAAAAAAATTAATCAAATTGATGGGTACTGCTGCCGCACTAGACATGATAGCATGTATTGAATTTGTGCATTTGACCAAAATGCTCTCTCATTTACATTGGCAATGGCACTACACATCAATACTTTGTTTAGGGACAGTTACATGCAGTTCTTCTTCTGTATCAATTCGAAAGTATGTCTTAGAAAATGGGCTCATACCAGCATTAAACTACGGAGATGCTGATACGAATGAATCTGAACCACTTGATGCAGATGATGAGAATGATTCAAACGACAATAGCTGGATGGTACGTGCCGCTGCTGTGGTTGCATTAATTGAAGTATATCAGCAGTACAGAATTGGTACTTATGGATTAATAGCACGTGAAGTAATGATCGATAGAGCCTCAAAAGAAACACATCCAACTGTCAAAATGTTACTGAATACTCCAAGGGCAAAGTCTCCACATTCAACGTTTGTGAAGCGTATATCATTTTTATTTAAGTACACATCGATAGCGTTTGCAGAAGTGTATGCAGAAATTCAAAGTGACTATCAGTATATGAGAAAGTTTATACAAACTGCCGAAAAAGACGAACGACGTCAGAAGCACCAAAAATCAAGGAAAAAGAAGGCACCAAAGCAAGTACCAAATACACAAAATACGCAATTTATTCAGTCACAAACCATAGAAAAACGTAACAAAAAAGGTTCGAAGAAATCGATGTACGCAACTTTGCCATTGAAGCACACACCAGAACCAGAATATTTGAGCACAAGAAACCGGGAGCCTACAGGAGATTTCAAGAATATTTTAAATGTACCATTCTCGACCGAGCCATATCATCATAACTATCAACATGTTCAGTTAGATCCAGATGATGATGTACAAAATGTATTAACCACATATGAAGAAGATGAAGAAAGACGGCAGCTTCTCCCTAGATTAACTAAATCTTCTTTGAGGGACTGTCATGCAACTTATATCATACCTGGAAACATCAAAGACTTGGGAACTGCTGATCGTCGGAAAATGTTCAATCCAATGACATCGTTTGTGAGGGAGGAATATAAAGCACCAGAGAAAGCAAAACCAGCTACTAAAACTGTTAAAATGCCAAAAGTACCTCAGATTTCAATTGGTAATAAATAGAATAAATATGAACAACTCAGTGAGAAAATCAATAATATGTATACTTCTATTAGAATTATATTTAAACACTAAGATTGCCCAAAAATATAATCCAATGTATGTAATGAATCATAGAGATAGGTATACCCAAATTGTCCCCACGATGCCACAAGCGATCCCAATAGTAATAAGCAATAGTTCAATAGCATATTCAAATACACTGATTGACTTACCGTACATTACAAGGTAACACATGCACGGGAATGTAACTGATACGGTAAAGGAAAATAATGATCCTAATAGAGCCATCATGGTGTGAAATTGAGGAAATTTCACAGCTATTGCTAAGATAGCAGAAGAAGAAATTGCACATAACACGAATCGATTGACGTTAGTTGCTTTAGTGAGTGTTACACTTTGCTCTGGAACAGTTAATTATACAATTTTACCTAATTGAAAATTAATTGGACTTAGACTCAATGGATATTTTGTAACTGGATTAAATGAAATAAGCATAACCGTGATCCGGTTGAGTAATTTGTTAAAAGTTGGAACCAGGGGCAAATTTTGGGAGATCTAAAACTTATAAACTCGGTTAAATGTTTACTTCTTCCTTCGTATCTATTCCAAACATGGTATAGCCTGCAGCAGCAATCAAGATATACAATGTCATAACAATAACGTATGTGTAGTTTAACAAAGCGGGATATTCTTCTGGTTTCTGCATATCTCTATATATATTTGGGAATACCGAATGCCCTGAGTGTCAGCCTTTCTATAGATTTACCTGAAAACCCGGCCATTAACAATCCAAACGCTAAAGGAACTGGATACCAATCAAGAGGTAACAATGAAGTTTCAGCGGGAGTCCAGAGAGATCCTGGAGACGAATAATTACTTAATCCATCATAAAACAACACTGCCAACAGGTTCACTAGTGCAATGATCCCAACCAATGAGCCGTATGATGCAATTGAAAGAGATTTTGGCAAAGTTGTTGGAAATACCAGTAAAACCATGACACATTTTACTGTGATTAGATCTAGTTCTGGGAAAATTGCCACAACCGAGTCTGAAGTAAGAATGACAAGTGCTACAGATGCGGCGATAAGTTCCAAAAAGAATAATATGGAAATCACAGTCCTTCCAGTAGTTCCAAATGCATTTTGACCTAAATCTCCATAAGTTTGAGCACATTTTCCGTTCGGTGGGCGATAATTTAAACATTTCTCCAATAATCTTCCAGTATGATGTGTAATTAATCCAAATATTATGAGTAAAACTAAACCTACAGCCCATCCTGTAATGTTGAATGCAAAAGGAAGTGACAATAAGCCGATTCCCATTCTGGCATGATCAATGACAAAAGAAATTACAAAATGTTTACGGAGTTAAAGAGAGACTGTGCAAAGGATGATTTTGCTTCTTCCAAGATAACAGTTGTTAGCAATGGATCACTTTCTTCGATTATTTCTTCATTCTCAATAATGGGAACACATTGAGGGATCAATGGTGGTCGAATTGCAGGTTGCTCATGACTAACACTATCAGACTGCCATTCAATATTCTGGTTATCTAATGCTTCTCCGTACTCCTCGTCATTAGGATCCACAACCAATGATGGGGCTCTGTCTCTGAAGTGATTAAACATGGACGCTTATATTAGTGACTTCAAATACCTCTTTTGTAACTAGAAGTCCAAGACATAGAAGGCGTTGAAGTTTGTCTTGAAGTTGCAATTGAACGATGAGACACTCCCATATTATTGAATGATCCATAATTCTGGCGCATGTCAATTGGCAACTGAACAGGAGGGGATACTGGGATTGACCTTGAGTGTCCATTCTCTGTTTGATTTGTACCGGTTTCTGCAGCTCTTTGTCTGCCTTCCATTCTTGAATCTCCAAGTAGAACTTAGTTTTTATTGATAAGAGAACTTGTGTTTACTATTCACGTGATTGGCTTGGGTTTGACTGAAAAACCGTAATCTCCCACATTATCGTTTCACATGCACAGATTAGGAGCAATTGATCAAAAAGATTTAAAATGGTTTATTCCTGATGTAGATTTCCAATTACAGCTTTTTTTTCTATTGTGCCCGAGTAAAGTCAATGGTTGGTTGGTTACGTTCTGGTGGTTGCATCTTTAAGATTCTTAAATCACTACCTGATATATGACTAGAGAATCAATTAAAATAAAAATTTACGTCATGTTTTGTGGTGTAATCAAGATATACTGGGATGAATTATCTGGTTCTCTGGCATTTTCTACCATTAATCCAATTGCTAAACGACGATTGACTGCATCCTAATATTTGTTC